TTTTCCTTTTCTTTATTGTAAAATAAAAACAATTTTTTTTTTATTTCTTTTTGTTTTTTTTTTTTATTTCATAAAGTTTTTCTATTTATTTTATATATATATATGCTTATATATTTTTATTGTAAGTGTACAACCGCGCACCGTTTATACAATGGAGGCAAATCTCTTAATAAGAAAATCGAAGTGAACGATTTGAAATCTTCTCGGTGACTAACTGAAACGAGAAAAAAAAAACACAGAGAAAAATATTTTGTTTTGTTTTTTTTTTTTTTAATATTATTATTTGGTGAATAATTTTTGCACATAAGAACATTAAATTTCGCACACATATACAAAAAAATAAATCAAAATATAAATGAACACATAGCTATATATGAAATATGTAGGTACATTGATTTTGTTGTAGAAAATAGAATATATAGGAATATGGAACGAAAAATTATGTGAATTGGGAATATATAGACACATATACATATACACATAAACTATAATGCTGTATGTGTAAAGAAAAGGACTAAAAAGGAGCTTTTTTTTAAGTTTTTGCAAAATATTACAAATTTTATTGTTGTCCTCTCGATTTTGACTTCATTTTTTTTTTCTTGTTTTCAATTTTGTGGAATCTAAATTACAATTTTATTCTTAAAAATGAAAATGAAAGAATAACAATTTTTATTTTCTGTTTTTGTTATTTTTGTTTTTTTTCTTTTTCTTCATTAAAAAATTGTAATAAACGCGTATAAGAAATTTTTGTGTTTTTTTTTTTTTTTTTGTAATTTACCTAGGTATTTTTAATATTTTACAATATGCGTGTGTTAGGTACATATTGGGTTTATATACATATACTTGAAAATATAAAATATAATTATATTCATATATATGTATAAATTTCGTATATTATATAAACGATATAGTCAGGTGAGCATGAAAGTTTCTATTAGATTTTATATATTATATAAGTAGGCATATTATTATATATGAAAGAAATATGTTTATGGATACAAATGTTATTATTTGTATAGAAGAATGTATATAACATGGTATATATAGATAAATTACTAGATATAATAAAAAATCTCAAAATATTATGTAACAATTCTGTTAACAGTAATTAAAATTAAAATATTTGCAAAAAGAAGACTAGGTACAAAGAATTAAAAGATACTGTATTTTGTGATTTATATAATAGCAAGTCCTCCAGCCTATTATATGGTTCTCTAATCTCAAAAAATTATAAAGATGATATTAAATTATAAAAATGATATGCACGTATATAAAACTATAAAGATTAATTCAAAATAATTTGAAATTTTATTTAATACAATTATTTTAAATTATGTGCTTTTCCTTTCTGTAAATGAACAATATAATGTTCGCATATTTATTCCTATTGAAGGTTTTGTTATTGTTCCACATTTTATTTCCTCGTATAAAGCTTTTAAATTACACAAATATTTATGTACATATAGAAACTTACATACATCTTACATTAATTATATTCAAAGAAAATATTGAAATTTTTAAAGTAAATAAAAACAAAAATATAAATAATTATTTTAACTAACTGTATATTTATAGATACATATATGTATAATTGAAATAGTGTCAAACATAGCTAAAAAAAACATACATATTTCAAAAATTAAAATTTTTTAAAAATTTATGATTTTTTTTAAAAATCATGATTTGTCATGAATTATCAAAAAAAATTAATAATAATTTTTCTTGGGTTAATTTTTGACATTTTCTGTATATGATTCCGTTATAGTTGTGAATGTCAAATGGACTTTGTATTTTTTTGTCATTCCCAATAAAAAATTTTTGCACACCTCTTCCAAATATATATATATATATACGTTAATATATTAATAAATAAAACAATATACTAATAAATATTGAAAGTGATGGAATACATATAACAAACGTTAATAAATATTAATGCCTTCAGTGTCCAGTTGATCAATTTCGGTTTTTGCAGATCTGTCATCTTTAATTTATTACTTCTGTTCATACATAAAAGGCGATACGCGGACGCCGTTTAAGAAATTTTATCATTACATTTAGAAAATTTTCTAAAATTTCATTTAGATTTCAAAACTTCATGGTGGACTACTGTTCTAATATTAACATGAATATATAGAGAATTTTCAGAAATAATGATCATATTGACTTTTGTTCTCTATGGTTTTGACATATACGATAGTGTTTCAACATTGTTTTACAATTTTAAACATTTTTTTATATATTTTAAATATGCAAACATTTTTCTGTTCTATTGTGTTCGAATTTCATTCTTATGCTGTACAAAGCATAAATATTTTGTATAAATATAAAACAAATTCGCTTCATGAATAATTAAAAATTCACAACGATTATAATACCACTCCTATTACCTAAGCTTTCCTGTCTAAAATTCTAAAATTAACTGTACATAATTTTAGCTTTGAATTATGTATTATACTTCTGATTATATACATATACATATATAACAATTAGATATAAAACAAGCCTTTTTATTTGTTTCATTCCTACATGTATTTCACCATGTGTTGATTAAACATATAGATGGATCACGGTTAGATATATCTAATTTCAAGTTTCTCTTCATTTTTCAATTTTTCTAATATTTTTACGATATTTTTTTTATTATCATTATATATCGTAATTTAAATGATAACATTTAGACATAAGAGCGCATGTTTATGGTCATTTTAAATTTCCTTTTGTCTCATCACAATTATAAATAGAGCTTTATAAAAATTGGTGAAAAGCTAAACCAAAAGCTTTCAAACAATATTATCAATGAAATGTATAAATGATTTAAGGAATTTTTTTGTTCTCAAAAGAATATCTTATAATCTATACGAGTATTAAATAAACATGTATGTAAGCAATATAAGTTCGTATATATGTACATACGAACATACTTATGTATAGAGGTACTTAATTTCATAAAGTGACAATAAAAATTTTATACATAGATAGCCGCAAAATAGTGTATCATATAATAAATTATCTTTATAGCAGTTAGTATTTGTATACATACTTACATTTTATATAATATGCACATATGGACCAAGAAACTAGAAAATACTGAGTAATTCTTATACCTACATAATATACCAGTCGATTGGCATGTTTAGCTAGAAAAAGCTTATCTATTGTAATAACAATTAAATACTGTAAGCCCCAGGAAAATTATTAAATTAAGGATATATTAAGATGTTAATATACTAGTATGTATGTATGTACATTTACAATGTGTATGAGGCACATATGTTAAAAAATATTTATTGGTATTACAGAATTGAACAAAAATTTTTGGTTCAAGCTTTTGTTCTAGTTTGAAAATCATAATACACTGTTCATGATTTTCATAGTTAATATGTATGAAGATACACTTCTTTCTTTTTTTCTTAATGTTAATTATAAATTAGAGATAACAGGTATGAATTGTAAGTCTGGTATATTAGATTAGATTTTGGTAAGTCTAGAAAACCAAAAATAAAAGAGTAGTGTAAGAAAAGGTATAGTTTTGAGTAAATCGCGTTTAAATTTTTTTGCAAAAAGAAAATGAAGTTTCGAATCTAAAACCTTCCGGTCGTCATCTTTGACTATTCTGAAAAGTTATGTTAAACATTTTTTGGGGAATAAATATTTTGTTTGCATAAATTTGATTAAATAAACTTTTATAAATCTTATTAGAGATTTACTCGAAATTTCTTGGTACTTCTTACACTACTCTTTTTGGTATAAATTGTATGAAAAAAAGAGTAAAAAATTTAAACGCGATTTACTCAAAACTATACCTTTTCTTACACTACTCTTTTATTTTTGGTTTTCTAGACTTACCAAAATCTAATCTAATATACCAGACTTACAATTCATACCTGTTATCTATAATTTATAATTAACATTAAGAAAAAAAGAAATTTGTTTATTGTTTTATTTATATTTATCCTTTTTCTATTTTATAACACTCTTTTATACATATCAAATATACATACACATCACAATATTAAAAAAAAAACTGTATACATTACATTTGATATTTACTTTTTATCACAGTATGCCATTTTTTCTCTTTATATTTCTTATGTTATATTTGAATTATATATTTTTTTATTCCATTTTCTAATTTAATAACATGAAAGGGGACAAAATGAGAGGATTTGAATATTTAAGACATATTTTGTTAAAAGGTCACTTTTCTTTATTTTTTGTATGAAAATTGCCTTATTTTTGAAGAGTAGAGGTCGTTACTCTTGGAATGTGCACATTTAGTGGTTGTGAGAGGCATTTTTCCAGTGCAAAATGTACATTTTTGTGCACTTTGGTTTGTGCCCCTTTTGGACGAACTGTATGCCACTCTTTAGAATATAGTGGAATCTTGTACTGTAGCAGAATGCCTCATATAAAAAGTCGCTGAGTTGCTACATGTTATTTGATTTTTAACGCATCGTGTTCGGTGCAGCAACTTTAAGTTAAATTAAGTCAAACTGAACCAATATTGGAACTTTATTGATTCGCTTGATAAAATTAATTTCTAGACTTGACTGTTTTTCTCTTCCTGTTGAGTTGTATTCGGCTCTTCAAAAAATTCTAAAACTTTACTTCTTTATAATTTACCTCATTATATTTTTTAAGATAGCAACCCTACTACTGCTTCTGCATATACGGCGATTTAGTACACCCGGCGAGTCTATATCAATAAAAGTCAAAAATTAAACGTCAAAATAATAAGAAGTAAATAAGTGTTTGTTTATTAACAGGTTTTAGTAATCGAACAGGCTCATTCATAAAAATTTTCATATTTCAACGAAGTTGTTATTCAACTTTATTATTGGACGCAATATTATCTAATAAGACATGGCTAGCAATTCAAAATTTTTGGTAAGGCATAACTTAATATACCAAAAAACCTACCTTTGGTAGTTATACCATTATATGCAGACAAGCATTTATAGAAAAAACTCTATTTAGAACAGTTTGGTTATTTTAGAAAAAAATGAAATCAATTGCGCTTGTAACTTCCGCTGCTACAGTGTTTTTTGGTGGAATAAACATTTATAAAGGCAATGAAAAATTCTATGAAAATATTATCATGCCAATATCACGCATGCTACCACCCGAAACAGCACATATGCTAGCAGTCAAGGCTTGTAAATATAAATTGTTTTATGGAAAAACTCTTGATGATTTGAAAATTCTTGTAAGCTTTACATTTTTAATTTAAAAACTGTATCTTAAATTTAATATTTGTACAGGAAACACAGTTTTTTGGGCGTAGTATGTCGAATCCTATTGGTATAGCAGCAGGATTTGACAAACAAGGAGAAGCTGTCGAAGGCTTAGAGCAAATAGGTTTCGGTTTAGTAGAAGTTGGCTCAATTACACCATTACCACAACCCGGTAATCCAAAGCCTAGAGTTTTTCGGTTAATTGAAGATCAAGCAATTATAAATAGATATGGTTTCAATAGTGATGGACACGAAATTGTTTATCAACGTTTAAAAGAATTAAAAGATCGTAAATGCTTTAAAGGTGTACTCGGAGTGAATTTAGGTAAAAATAAAACATCAGAAAATGGGAATATGGATTACGTGAAAGGTATTGAGGTTTTTGGTCCAATATGTGATTATTTAGTAATTAATATCAGTAGTCCCAACACACCAGGCTTAAGAAATTTACAATATAAGAAAAATTTGGAAGATTTGCTTACAGATGCAATAAAAGCTCGAAATAATTTAACATCATATAAGCCGGTTTTCTTGAAAATAGCACCAGATTTAACAAAGGAAGAAGTAAAAGACATCACCAAAGTTATTTCCAAAAAAGCTTGCAAGATTGATGGATTAATTATTTCTAATACAACAGTAGATAGAACCAATTTACGTAATGAGTTATATAGCCAGGAAGTTGGAGGTTTAAGTGGAGCTCCTCTAAAGCTAAAATCTACAGAGTTAATCGCACAAATTTATTATGAAACCAGTGGAAAAATACCCATTATAGGAGTCGGTGGAGTTTTCGATGGAAAAGATGCTTATGAAAAAATTCTAGCTGGAGCTTCTTACATACAAATTTATACCGCTCTTATATATAATGGCCCACCCATAGTTAACAAAATCAAAATAGAACTAAATGAGCTCTTAGAGAAAAATGGATACAGAAATGTCAATGAAGCGGTAGGAAAAAACTATAAAAAATATTTAAGATAAAAGTTTGTCATATATTATCTAGTAAAACAATAAATTGTAAAACTCCTATTATTTTTTATTGGCCGGCTCCACATTTAAAATTCTGCCATCCAAAAAGTGATTTGTTTTATTAGCTGCAGCATTATATCCATCTCTTGTACTAAATGTAACAAAACCATATCCCTGAGACATAAACGTTTCTCTATCAAACACGACACTGGCTTTAGCAACATGTCCAAATTTCGAGAAGTAATATTTTAACTCATGATTCCCAACAGTCCAAGATAGATTTCCGATAAAAAGTTTGTATAAATTTCTGGTTGTAGTTGTAGCCATTATTATAAAATTGTTTTTTTTAATACTTTACAATTTCTAATAAATGTATTGTATGACCACCTATCAGATCGTTAAAATTGATTCCACTTCGTTGCCCAATATTATCTATATTAATATTACTAGCTTTTAGACCCCACTTTTTCAATAAACCCTCAATAGACCAATCTGCACTTCGCTCCTGATATGAACAAATGAATTTCGAATTCGGATTGTTCTCTAATAAAAAAGAAACTGTTACTAGTATATCTTCAAAAATTGCAGGATCATAAAAGCAATCTGATGCTATTATTAAATCTATTGGTCCTAAATTAAATATGCTATTTAACAAAAGTCCCCAGCTGAGACCAACTATATCGATATCTCGACCTGGACTCAGATTGTTTGCTAAGCAACACTGTCTTATGTGTTTTAAAGTTTTAGGCAACAAACAGTTGTCAGTTAAAGTCACTTGTGCTCCACACTTTGCAGCTAATATTCCAGGTAAAGCAGTTCCACAACCTAGTTCCAATACACGCTTATCAACTAAAATAATAAAAAGTTATTTCTAAAGTATATTTAAAATAAGAAATTAAACTTGTTAATATGTATATGTAATGGTTACCTAAACAGTCTCTTTTCTCCCACAAGAAATATGCTAAGAACGGGGCACAGGGCCAAGTGTAAAAACTGTATCCAGCTTGTAGGAGCTGAAAAGAGAAAATTTTAATATAAAAAAAATTAGCGAGACTAATATTTGTTATTAAATAGCTATGTAAGTAAACTTTAATTATTGCAGTTGCATGTTAATTTTGAAAAGCGTGCAACTATTTTCTGAGACAATTATGGCATAATTGCACGGTTTTCAGGTTTAAACTTTGAATTTTGTGTTTTCAAAATATTAATTGAAATACCTCTGGAATTAATATTTCAAGATTTTCTTCACTTCCCTTACTATTAAAAACAAATTTTTTTATATGTTGCTCTGGCCGAACAATTCCCGACATATCGAATGTCATATTTGTTATGAAACAAAATGTCAAAATTTTTAATGGCAATATTTTATGTTACGTTATTTTACGTTCACATTTTTTAGAACAAATTTATGTACTAAATTAATAAAACACCGTATGAGTGTGCTAAAATTTACAAAGCTACATTTTTTTTATAGAAAATAAAATCCACTTAAATTCATCGTTTGCTACAACAGAATATTTGTCATTTTTTGGAAAAATGTTGTCCTAAGGTCGTGTAATATAAAAGAATAATGGTCATACTCATCAAAAGTGTCATAGAAAATTGTAAGTTTCTCATCATATAGTAATTGATATTTTTGTGTAATTATTAAATGAAAAATTTCTGATTAAATGCTAAATTCTTTTCCGTTTTAGAACTAGTTACGTAAGGTTTCGTTATAGTTATATATTATAGATAAAAAAATGTAAAGCATAACTTCACTTCATTCATATTTGAAGAGGAAACATGGAACTGTCAAAAACTGAATTATCGATTTTCAAAATAAATTTTACCATCCCTGTTTGTCAAACTAAAAAATTAATTTAAACAAAGTGATACCTTCGGCAGGATATTGAGGAGAAAATTAAATTACTATTAAATATTGAATATTTTTACTTTTCCAAAATTTTAATCGGTGTGCTTTTTTGTACTAACAAAAACAATGTCATTTTTAAATCCAAGTGATATGGTGGAAGAAGATGCCGCCGATTTACAATTTCCAAAAGGTATGTAAAAAAATTTAAAGAAAGTAAATATAAGAACTGCGTGGCCTTTCGTCTAATTTATATTACCCCAAATCGCAAATATTTATCAAAAGTTGTTTCGCCTTTAAAATTTCAGTTGCAAATATTCATTCGGATAATGTGGTGACAATTCTTCCTGATTCAAATACAAAATTTTGTACCAATACTTTTGATATTAAAAGTTTTGAGTCACACGTTTTACAAAGCAATTGCTGTAAAAACAACTCGTGTATTAAAGATTTGTGCAGTGTTTGTCAAAAACAATTACAGCTCCCTTATATTAAGTGTGCTGAATGCCCATCTTTTCTATGTGTGAAGTGTTTTGCAAAAGGTAAAGAAACATTGATTCATAATAATTCACACAACTATATAGTGGTCCATGAAAGCCTAGAGTTATTTCCAAATAGCAACTGGACAATAGCAGATGAACGTAAATTATTAGAGTGTTTAGAAACTTGGGGTTATGGAAACTGGGAAGATATAGCTTCAGCAATGGCAAACAAATTCAGCAAAGAGGAATGCGCCCAACATTACCATAAATATTATTTTGATGGGATTTTTGAAAAACGATTAGGCCTAACCAACCAGTATTATTTTCCTGAAAGAATACCGTATTTTTACAAAATGGTTAGTGTCGATCCTCCTAGATGTGAAACGGTTGATTCGTTTCACTTTAATAATATGGATGGGTATCGTTGCGCGAGAAGTGATTTTGATATTCCTTATGATAAATCAGCGGAAACGTTAATCAATGAGATTAACACAAACGATATTAATATTAGTGATAATAAAGACGATGACGACGAAAATTATGAAATGAAAATTATCTCGAAAGCAGAAGAAAATTTGAAAATAGGAGTTGTTCAAGCATATAATAACAGAATTAAGTAAGTTAATCTATTAATCGAAATTTAATATAAATATAATTATAATCAACATTTTAGAGAAAGAAAGCGGCGATATAGAATAATGCAGGAACATGGACTGTTAGTGCCAAATAAAACCCAAAGTTGGCTGTCAAAATATAACGAAGCAATAAAAATGCACTTTAATCCTTTATCCAATAAATTCGGTAATAAGATTGGAAGATTCCCCATCTTAATGCAATTATGCAGTGGTGTTGCTTTTGATACTTTCTTAGAATCTTTACAATATTATATTGAATTGAAAAAATATTTGTACAAGTAAGTACATATTAGCTTTAATTTCGAATTTCAGTTATTCAAATTTTTATTTACTTTAAGCCTTTTTGAATTCCGATCTAATGGAATCAAAACCTTATACGGAGCTAAGATATACAATCGTCTTAAAGCAAAAAGAATAAAATATGCTCAAGAATTAAAATCGATGGAAAGTTTTTATGATTGGAGAATAATGGCCCCGACCGAAGATGGGGGTGACATATCACAACTTGGAGGGGCTATAATAAGTTTAAATGGAAAATCAAGAAAAAAAGCAGGTCCAATTAACATAATGGGTGAGCTTGAAAATAATTTTCTTTTGAAAAAGATATTTCATGAAGTTTTTTTTATAGGTTTTCCAGGATACGATAAACTAACAGACAATGAAAGAAAAATTTGTAGTAGTGTTAGAATTTTACCAGCTTCCTATTTAGAATTCAAGAAAATTTTACAAAATGAATGTTCTAAGATAGGATTTTTGAGATTATCAGACGCTAGACGATTAATAAAAATCGATGTAAACAAAACAAGACAATTATATGATTTTTTAATAGAGAATGGATATTGCAATAAACCTATTGATGGATAATCTAATTATTGTTATGGACTAAAATAAATAATTAATTATAATTATAATTGTTTTTATGTATTGTTATATCCTTATTTGTTTTATAATAAAATTGAAAAGAAAATTAATGCATTCAAACATAAAGAATATTGGTTTTTAATTTACACTATTCAATATGAGAAAATTTGCAAATAATTATAAGCTTATTAAAAATTTTATAAATTATTTTTCTTTTGCAGAATTCGAAAATGCTGAAACCTTATTAATAAGTGAAGTTCATATGTTATTGGATCACAGAAAAAAGCAAAATGAATCAGCAGATGAGGAACAAGGATTTTCAGAAGTTTTTCTAAAAACTCATAGCTATACAGATTCATTTCGAAAATTTAAAAATAAAGAAACAATAGCAGCAGTCAGAAGGTAATTTATCACTCAATTTTATTTATCAAGATTTCAATTTATATTTTTGTGCATTTCATAAATTTTAGTTTATTGATGCAGAAAAAATTACATAAATTTGAGTTGGCTGCTTTAGGTAATTTATGCCCAGAGGCACCAGAAGAAGCTAAAGCTTTAATACCATCTCTAGAGGGTCGCTTTGAAGACGAAGAATTAAGACAAATATTAGATGATATTGGAACAAAAAGAAGTTTGCAATACTAAAACAATTAATTTATATGTAACAAAATTTATATAATACATTCATCTATATATTTTTAATAAATCTTACAAATTCCATAATTGAACTTGTATGTATTTTTTATTGCATTACTGATTTGGAAGGAATTAGAATGGGTTTATATGTATTACTTTATTTTTTTTTATAGTGATAATATTAAGAGCTAGATTAGTTTTCAAATATGATGTTCTATTCACTTTAAACCTGAATATCTTTGAATAATATCCATAACGATATTCTCAAATTTTATTGATGTTTTCAATGTGATAAATCCTGAAATGAATGAAGAAAATGATTTAAACTAGTTTTTTCCGGGTTATATAATTTTAATGTCTCACCTCAAAAAGTATACAATATATTATAGTAATTATAATATTAATATTAAAAAAAAAGCGGATTTCAATAAAGAATTCTTTTTCTAATAAGTTTTTAACTTTTAAAAATTTTCAATTTTTTTTTTTATTATTTTTTACTGATGATTCTTTTTCTCTTTTATATAATTTATATACTTTGGTTAAGAAAATAATACGGAAATATAAAAACGGAATATATTTTACATAATATAAGTATTTTAAATTAACAAGTGCGCGCAATAATACAAAAAATTTAAAAATTGGCAGTAAAAATTTTATTTTTAATTTGAAAATTAAAATATCTATTGTATATTATGTTACATTGAATATTTAATTTTTTTTTGTATAGCAAAAAATATACAGGTCATTAAATTGAAATTAAAATGAATTATATTTAACTTAATTAGCAAAAACAAAAAAAAAATTAAGCGTATCATTTGTTTTTAACGCATTGTAAAACTTTTAGCGCATGTTAGCGCATAAAACATTGCGTATTTGTATTTAATGAAAAAATATGACCGAAAATAAGCTGAATATCTTATATAAATAAATAATAAATTCCCATTATTTTTAAGGAAAATCTATAACAAGTGATGTGGATGTAAAAGTGTATTTGAAAAAAAGAACAAAATCCCCAAAACATAGTTAGTTTGAAATAGACGCGTTAGCTATCTCTTATTCTTAAATAATTTATAATAATTAAATTATTTTTATAAAACAAAGCAACTTAAACAATAAAACTTATTATTGATGTTCAAATCAATAAGTAAAATTTTACAAATTTAAAAAAAAAATCTTAGCTTATAATATCATATTACAATTTTTAACTTATTTTCAGTAATTCTTTTTTTTTCATAAATACATATTTATAATTTTTTTGTTTTAAGAAGCATTTATTACAAAAAAAAATTAAGCAAACAAATTTTTGGTTGGTATTAATTCATATTAATATATATATATATGTACATATATATAATATATATATATATTCAAAAACTTCAAAGTTTTTTTTTTATATAATTTAATATTAATAAATTTTTCTGATATTTTTATTAATATAAATAATAAATTCAAAGTATTCCATTGATATTATATTTAAAAAAATTTTTTTAATTTTTGGAACACTGGTTTAGGTTTTGCAATTCATTTCGTTGTAGAGTATACGGTTTTATTATTGTATAAAAGATTTAATTATATTTTTTGATTTTTGGATATAAAAAGGCATTGGATAATTTTATGTACATATATGCAAAAAAAAAAAAAAATGTAAATAAAAAATTATATAAAATTATCAGGCTTAGATAAATTAGAGAATTAAACAAAAATCAATTTATTATTTTCATAGTTACATTTTCATTACTTAAATATTGTTTTTTATTAATTGCAAATTCAATAAGGCCAAATAATACAATATGTTGTATTAAGAAAAAAAAAAAGAAAATAAATTAATTTTTATTTAATTTTCAATAATTTTTATCTATTGTCCTTATCTTAAATATTATTTTTTTTTTCATACTTTCATTACTCTTTCATTAATATTGATTTCAATCAATTGGTAAAGATTGGATACGGTAAGTTACATTTGGATTTTTCTTGTAAAAATTTAGTAAATTTGGGAAGAGCAATAAAATATTTTTATTAATTTAAAATATAGAATTTTTTCCTGTAAGCTTATAACTATTAATCAATTGACATATTTTACAATATTTTTTGAGTTAATAAGAATAAAAAATTATGATTATATAATTTTTGTTATAAAGTTTTATCAAAGGTTTTTCTTTTGTTTAATTAAAATTATAATTTTTAAAAAAATTTTTCAAAAGACTTAAGAAAGATTATAAATGTATATTGGACGGAGAAGGAAATAGAAGAAAATTAAAATCTATTTTATAAAATATTCATTAAACTTTTTGAAAATATTGAAAATTATAGTGTTCCCAGAGAGTAGGCAATCAATTACTGATTAACAAACGTTATTCTAATATTTAAATTAATTTTACTTAAAAAAAATTAGGTAAACTAAATAAAATTATGATTTTTTGCACTAAAAATGCGTTAAACGCCAATAATTTAATAAAAATTTTATTTAATTCAATTAAAATTTCATTAGCAGTGATCAATGTAAGATTTCTTATTGGTTTTATTAAATAAATTTGCATATTTTCTCACAAAAACTTCTATTAGTGAATGAAATTCAAATTAGATAAAAGCTTTATGCATTTTCGTAAATGATCCTTAGTCAAATTTGAACACAATATGAATATATTGTGAAGAAACCTACTATAACGTCGGCTATTGCACCTACACTGTTGAATTTGCTAAATTCGCTAATGCAATAAACTAAATTAATTATGATTATAATTTTAAGATAACATAGAAAATGATATGATAAAATATGATTTCAAGATATTATTTTAAGATAAACCTTAGCCATTTATGCTATTAAATATGCATATCAACTAAAAGCTTTGAACAAACGGCAAACAAACAAAAAATTGCAACAAAAACCTGTCTTTTCTTCAGTTATCTATTATTTAAATAAATGTGTTAACCTTTGTTTTTTTTTGTTTTAAAATGCATTATTGTTATATTAAATATATGTATAATATTTTTTTTAGTTTAAAAATTTGTTTCCTTAAATTCTTTAGCTTGCAAACCAGATCCAACTGTATAAGCGGCGACAGACGCATGATCTAATTTTCCAGGTAAAGTACTAAATGTGCTACTGTCAACAACACGCTTACGTCCGGATCTGTGTTGTATACGTGTCATTTCAACCTCTCGTTTAATACCATCGGGACCAGTAACCAATTTATAAAATAATTCTCTTTGCTCTAATGTTTTACGTCTAGCTGATGTTATCATACGAACAAAGTCAACAAGTAGATGACAAAGCCTTCTGGCGGACGGACATGGGCATAATTGACCATTTATACCATAACTTAATAAATCTTCTAGACGTAAGAGTGTTAATGCATGCCTTTGGGGTCCAGTTACTAATGGCAGACCAGCTGCAGAACGTGGTATTCTTGAATGATGACTACTTTTTATAATACGTGGCTCTATAACTGTATGAGATCTCATATATTTTGGACGACTTGGAACATTTGATAAACTGGCGGATTTGTCAAGTGGATTATTTGATGCTGATGAAGACGAAGAAGGACTGGAAGATTTTTGTTTAGTTCTTTGTGGGCGTATTGGTACATTAGAATTTTGAGTAGATTTAGCTGATGAGTTCTGCTGTTGTTGTTGTGATGCTTGTCCTGTCGATGCAAGTTTTTCATTACTTTTGTTATGTGTTGTAGTATTTGAACAAACGGCAGCAGCACTACGATTTTGTCTTTTAGGAGCTAATTTTTGCCGTTGTTGTAAGTCATATGATCGAACTTTTGTTTCAGTGGACCATGCTTCCGCAAATTTTCCAACAACTGGATCAAAATTATCGCTGATACCATCTGATGTTAAAAAAACTATATCCCCTGCTTCCACGATTGTCATTGATAGTGTTAAGTTACTTAATTCTGGTTTGTTGCCATCAACAGGACCAAGAGCACCTAAGGCATCACGCATATCACGCATTGAAGTGATGTCATGAGATCCTAAAATTTATTAAAAATTTTTAACAATGATGATGTTTCTAAAAAAATGAAATTTACAAATAAATACCTTGAGTAAATTCTCTTACACCATATTTTTTGGAATATATATAACCCAAAGAATCTCCAACATTACAGGCACAAACAACATATTTTCCATTGTACTGATCACCACTCAGTGGCAAAATAACTGCTATAGTCAGAGTGCTTAATGCCCCTCCAACTTCTAAAATACAATCATGCCCTTCCCATAAAGCCCGAAATAGACTAATAAAAACATCCTTTGTTGAAGTTGCAGCACATTCTTGTGAGAATGCAAATATTGCGGTATCTAAATAATCTAAACTACCATGTACAGCTGACCTAGCAGCTAATCTAGCACCATCACCTGATTTAAAAAAAAAATAAAATAAATATTCATATTAAAGCTTTACCATGCATATACATATACGTATATAGAAAGTTATACAGATATATTGCTAAAATTTATTTACCCCAGTTCACACCATCAGCCATTGCCATAGCACAAGCATTTCCTCTTACAACCATTCCATAACAGTCAGCAATAGGGGATCCCATTGGCTCTTTGGTTAACATGTTATGTTCATACAATGACACTGATATACCATATGCATGTTCTGATTCCATTTTCCAATTAGAAACACCAGCAATTGTGTCACTTTCTGTTGTACGGCCACCTAAAATGTGATTGTTCCAGTTTTCTTTTTCTTCTGTTGATGACAAATTATTGCGTTTTATATCTAAAATATTTGTATTTGGGACCTCATTTTCTTTTTCAACACTAGTATTATTTGTTTTTGTAAGTATATCAGTTGCAGAATTATTTAAGAGCGATGAAGTAATAGTTGTTGTTGTCGTTGATATATTTACATTTTCTGAACCGTATACAACTGTTGTTGTATTAATAACTCCATCAGTCTTTAAAATACTACTATTTGTTATATTATTACTGTTATTGGATTTTAATTGCTGTTGTTGTGATGTTTTTTGCGGAGTTTTTGGTGAATTTCTATTACTAGTACTAATCATACTAACATAAATAGTAGTTGGTTGCTTTTTATTATCATCTTTATTTAATTTTTGTTCGGTGGTAATTATTTCCATTTCAGAATTTTTATTTTCTTCCTCTTTATTTTGTTGGCTAGTATCATGAATATTGTTACTATTAACTGTTGTTGTATTAGATGTTGCATTTGCAGTTGATGTACCAAATGCATTTATACTTGAACGAGAATTTTTTCTTGATCTTGGTGTTTTATTTGCATTTTGATCTGAAGTAACATTTTCAGTACCACTAATATTACCAGTGTTTGAAGTGGCGGTATTATTACTACTATTACGATTTTTTTGGGAATTCGAATAATTAAATTTGAATTTATTGTGATTACTTATACTTTTACGTATTTCAATATCTTGTTCTTGTATAGTATCAATAAAATCTATATCCGAACCAGCACTTAAATGTAATTTTGAACGTTTAATACCAGTTAAACCATCATCTGGTCCAGTACAGGCTGCCGTTATTGTTGATGGACCAGTTGGATAAGGGGCAATTGGTAAATCTGGCATCTCATGTGGTTCATGTCCAGATATTATATCTGGTCCAGGATCAATATATGTTCGTTCTGTGCGACTAAAAAAATATATTATCAATAAATTGAATAAATAATTAAATCTATTATTAAAAAAAATAAAAAGAATCATGTAAAGAAAAAAAATTGAATTTTATCTTTCCACATGAATTCTGGTTTAAACAAATTATTTATTCGAATACCTATAGTACAATTCACTCGTCACTTTTAAAAAGCTTAAGGAAATTGTTTATTCGGAAAGTAAAAAATTATACTTACTTTTCCAAATATTTAATAATAAAATTCCCGTCATCATCGTTAGCTTTCCTTGAACTTAGTAAACCTGATCTACTGCCATGATTGCTACCAGTACCGCCACCACCACCTTCACGAGGATCAGCTATAAAACTTAATTGTCGAAAATATGTTGTAACTTTTTGACGTAAAGAAGGCATATTCAGTATAGTAGTATGAAATTATTTTTGGTCAAAAAAATATTTGATCTTTACTTATTTTATTTGGTTTTTTTAATAAAATTTTTGTATTGTTATTTTAGTTTGATTTTTATTTATAAAAAAATATATTATTTTTATTTATATGAATATAAATTTGTTTTTTTTTTTTAACATTTTCAGTTGACGACACTCATCTTTTATACAAAATTTATTGTATATTTTTTTTATTGTAATTATTGCAATTACAATTTATCTGAAATAGAAAAATGAAAATTTATGATTATTTTTTTTTTTTCTAAGTTTTTAAATATAAAATTATAAAATATGCTATTAAATTGCAAAAGAGTATTGGAAGATAAAAAAAATATTGGCGTTTAAGTATACGAGTATTTGCTGATTGTAGATTGTATAATTAGGGTAACAATGTATCGCGGTTAGCAAACCACGGTCCTTAACGCAACCTTCTCATATAAATTATTTTCTCAATTATATATTATGTATTTGTAAACTACAGTCTGTTGGGAAAAAAAGTACTGAATTTATCCTGCATGTAAATAAATGCTTATAAGTTCGGAACCATACGACATAGAGTAATAATTGGGGGCTGGTTTTACTAAAAACTTCGTAATCTCCAATAAATGTACATATAGTACTTGATTTTCAAATTAACAAATTGATACGGTAGAAAATTTGATATTTTGAGAGAGCAGAGTTTCTAAATATTTTTTTGTCGAAACTTAAAAATGTGTCTGTACCAAAACGTTTTGCCGTCAATTTCAAAAAACTTGAGATAATCTCCAAGACTATTAGAAATCATTAATTTGGTTTATTACGTATGCATAAAAATTGCTATAACAAAATATAAAACCGCGAATTGCTAAAATAGAAAAATCCCCTTTTGTTATACGAAAAAAAAATGTTTTTTTTTTTTGTTTTTGTTTTCTAAGTACATTCATACATGCACACATTTGTATAATATTTTTAATTATTAATTTTTAATTCTTAAGTAAGTTTTTTCCTTAACCTATATTAGGAGGTATACCTATATTGTATGTATATTCAGTGGTTTACAGCAAATAAAAAACATAAACGTTAGAGCTTTCCAAGAAATATTAATTTATTATTAATAAAGAGTCAAACGAAAATAAATAAAAAAAAATAATGAGCAAAATTGATAAATGAAATGATTACCCCCAAAAAAACAAAAAAGGAAGATTTAAAATTTTTATTTAAAAATAGTTTGTTTTGTACAACCAAGAACTTTTAGAGTATAATGTACCATCTATAATGTTATTTACTAATATTTAATATTATTAATAATTTTATTTATTAGAACCAAATATATAAGAAAAACTATTGATAAAGCAATATATGAAACAATTTACAATTACATAACATTGCCTTAAAAAGAAATAAAGATTTCCGACTCACTCTTTTTTCGGGATAACAAACATGAAAAACATGCGACATTAGTAGGTCATATACATCTATAAACAATAAAGGCGAGCTGGTCTTCCCATATAGAACTTCAATGGAGCGCAAAAACAGATACACAAAAGCCCCACACTCCCCACAGTAAAGTCACGCAGTCAGAGAAAATGGAAAACTATAAGAAAATTTTAGTGATAGTTGATAACCTCAAATATATATATGTATGTAAGTAATACAGGGAATTTAAAAAAAAAAAAATTTTTATTATCTTACATAAGAGCATTACGTTAAACTATATTAACAATAGATTGCCCCAAAACATAATGTGTGGTTCATATTCAAATATATGTGTGGTTCAATTCACAAAAACGCAAAATTATAAAGCTCTTGAGCGTGCTTAAAACTATGATACGATCAGTATCGTTACGATCAGCAAAAGGAATTTACACAATACGAGTAGCATAAATAAAGAAGAAACAAAATTGTGGCCGATTGATTAACACCTACTTACATACATACATCTATAAAAATATTGTAAAATAAAAATAAATAAACATAATTTTTAATTTTGTGTATTATTCTATTAAAAATGTTATCAAAAAATAGAAATATATTAAAATTGTTATACACAATTATTATTAATTTTACATTAATTGAAAGTCAATTAAATATTCCTGAATCCCCATGTCCTAGAACATTTTGGTATTCAGAAAATAATGGCGATGTTATAGGTGTAATAAAAGTAAATAATTTTGAATTAAATAAGAAAAATATAATAAAAATTACGATTACAAATGATAATGACGCTGAGGTGAGTGAATTTACCTTTAAGTACTTAGTTTATTAAATAAATCAGTTTTCGGATTAGTAATTATTATGATTGTATTATACAGAATTTTAGGTTATGTTCTTCAGTACTCATTTCTTAAACAACGACAAAATTTATGTAAATTTTCACAAATAAGAATATTATTTCCGGACATATTACGCGCCTATTAGTCACTCATATGTTATTCTTCACTCATGATTTTTCTTTTTTTTTAAATTTTAAATATTAAATTAAATTTGTGCAAAAAAAATTTTTTTGACGTAAATTTACATAAATTTACATAACTTACCTCACCTTTTTTTTGTAAATTATAAAAATATTCCACAACAGGCACATAATTTTTTACTTCTTAAAATAATTAAAAACATTTCAGAAACCTAAAATCATCCCCATACAAGATAAGCAAAGTATTCGTAATGCTATAACAGATGGAAACCCAATTCATTTCAAAATACAACTTCATACAACATCCATTGTTCCAGAAGTTAGCGAAATTAATTCAAATGGATTGACAATATGCAGAAATAGAAGTAAATTCAAATCGAGGAAAAAATTTGCTTATAAATGATTTTATATTCAAATTATTTTTTGCTTTCAGAAATTCTTGCACCAAATCGTTCAACATCAACTGCTATCTATAATTTGGATTTATCAAATATACAAAGTCATTTTTTTCTGACATTTGGTGCACCATTCAATACACAATCAACTAGAAAACCACTTTTTAGTAAAGGTTTCCCTTTCAGTAATCATTTATTTTCAATACCTCAAAATAATCTCCAAAATGCTAATAATGTTTTTCCACAAATAAATAGTAATGGATTTGAAAATATATTTGATCAAATTAATTCACCAATAGCACAAACAAATACACAATCTCAATCAAAATCAAATCAATTTACAATTCCGAGACCTATACAAACATCTCAACAAGCAAATTTTCAAGATTATTTGAGTATAGAACAAAATAAAAACAAATTTCAATCAAATACTAATCCATTATATAGCGAATCATCTAATATATGTGGTACAATTAATTTATCACGCCCCCTTATTGTTGGTGGACAAACTTTTCAATCAGGTTCATGGCCATGGTTAACAGCATTATTTAGAAAATCAACAAAATCTTTTATATGCGGTGGCAGTTTAATATCAAAAACAACTATTTTAACAGCTGCTCATTGTTTTGGTAATAACGTAAATGAAAAAGATTATGTTGTTGGTGTTGGAGTACATGACTTAAAACAGATTAGAGAAGAAGGATCTATATATTTGAATGTTAAAAGAATTACATTACATCCCGAATTTGAATATTCGAGTATAACTAGTTATGCTGATTTAGCAATTGTCATTTTAGAAACTAGTGTCGATTATAATACAAAAGTACGTCCAGTTTGTTTATGGAACGACTCTAATTTAAATAATGTTATAAATAAAACTGGTCTTACAGCTGGCTGGGGTCTATCAAATCCAAATCATATAGCTTCTGATATACCAACAATTGTTTCTTCTCGAATTGTATCTGATTTAGATTGTTTACGATCAAATTCTACTTTTCTTGAAATAATTTCAAATAAAACTTTTTGTGCTGGTGATCGTAATGGAATTGGACCATGTATAGGAGATTCTGGTAGCGGATTAATAATACAAAATAATGGTGTATGGTATATTAAAGGTATAGTGTCTCGTGCACTTTCTCATCCAGATAAAATATGTGATTTAAATGATTATGTAGTATATACTGATGTATCAAAATTTATAAATTGGATAAAACGATATATGACAGATTGACGTAATTGATTTAATGAATATTCATTGTTATTTGAATAATAATATATATATATATAAAAATATAATAAGAGTGTAAGACTGTGTCCTTTTTAATTTTTCACTATAAATAAATTATAATCTTACTAAATTCAAATTTTGTTTCACTAATAAAAAACCACTTCTAAATTCTTCTCTCTACATTTTCTACAATATTATGGTGTTAATTGTAATTTACAAGAAATATGTTTTTATGTTTATGTACATACAACCTACCTTTGTATTATTGGTGGAATTTTAAAGTTAGGGATACTTGTATTATATTTGAGGAACATTCCCTAATCAAATTTTATTAACTCTGCAACTATGGTACACAATTCACCAATTTTTTTATCTAAAACGTGTAAGAATACAATGTTACTGCAACTTGGGTGAGTGATATTAAAGCTGAATCAACAGACTATATCTTTATACATACACTCCATGCAATTCAGTATATACTCATATATATATATATATAATGGATATCATATATATATATATACATATATATATATATATACATATATGATATATATGTGATATATATATATAAATATATATATATATATATATATATATGTTATATACTATATATATCATATATATACATATACATATATCACAAATATGATATATATCACATATATCATATATATATATATATATCACATATATGATATATATGTGATATACATATATATATATATATATATATATATGATATATATAGTATATATGATATATATATATATATGATATATATAGTATATATAGTATATATGATATATATATATATATATGATATATATAGTATATATCATATATATATATATATATATATCACATATATATCATATATATATGATATATATGTGATATATATATATATATATATATATATATAATATATGTTATATATATATATATATATCACATATATATATATATATATATATATATATATATATATAGATTTTAGAAGTATACGTCTATCTATATATATATATATATATAGACAGACGTATACTTCTCTGTGCGAGCAAAGTAGTTAAATTTTTTTTTGAGTAGCAATCAAATTTGCAAACAAAAACTCTTCTAAAATTTTGCAATAATTTGAAAAATAAACTGATCCTTCTATACCATATTTATGAAAATCCATGTACGTAAAGGAAAAAATAAAGTCCACTTCTATTCCAATAACGTGTAATTAAAAAAAATAAATGAAAAATAAAAACTAGTCACGATTGACGCTTCTTCGTTCTTTTAATTTAAAACCGGTCATTTTGCTTCAAACAATGTACTAAAAATGTAGTAGGTAGAAATATATATACTACTGCAATATACCCACATACATATGTATACGTATATGTTATCTACAAATAATTTTTTGTGTACATATTATTTTGTTAATTATTTATTTACATCTCTTTGCATCTTAAATTTTTTTCTATATTATTTTTGTACTAAAACAGGTTCTTTGAAGATCTTAAATTGCTAAAAAGAAATTTCTAAAATCACCTTGTTGAAAAAACTATCTTGTTGACTAATAAATTTATGATTCATCAGGGAAACCAAATTTTAATTATATACAAATTTATATACATATGTAAAAAAAAATTATACAGTAGAATAAAAATCAAGTCGGACACTGAATTTCTTCTTCAACAAGCAATTAATTACAAAATATAAGAGATCACTTAAAACATAAGGACCTTCTCAGGTTTATTTATTGAATTAAAAAAAAAATACAATTATTGTTTCGATACAATTAGAACGGAAACGTAACAAGAGTAAGTTTATATATTGTAAAAAAAATACAGAACCTTATTGATCAATTATATTGAAACATTTTAATATTTTTAAACTATTAAAAATAAGTTATAGTAAAGTTAAACCAAATGCTCTTTAAATGAGTCTATTTAAAACATGATCATCAGATCAAATTATTACCATAATATCTCATTTTTGAAGGGGTCAGAAATATAATCAATTACGTTATTTATTCCGATCATTATAATTTTGACAACTATATTATCTCTATTCAACTCTATACTTTCGGAACTAATCCGAATAATATAATAATATCGGCTATAATTCCGAAATTATTTTTCATATTGAAACTGGGAAACAAATTAGCAGTTAGATGTTAAAAAATTAAAAGTATAAATTGCAGATTATTTTATTTTTAAAAATAAATTTAACTAGGCGTTCCTACATACATACCTCTTACCTACTCTGATAATGAACGAAAAAGGGTTTTACATAAATATATATACGTGTACTCAGAATGTTCATATTTAAAATAATATTTTTTATACGAATAATTGTTAATTTTTAAATTTAATTTAATTATAATCATTAAATTCATTCAAATTATTATTAAATATGTGTGGGATGAATAAAATAAAGGAAATTTAACTACTATGAAGTAGTAATGACATTATTCTGTTAAATAATCTCTAAGTTATAATAAAATCTTTAATATTTCAAGTTTAAAATACATAATTATATAAAAAAAATAAAAAAAAATCATAATACGTAACTATTTTAAGTCAATATTTTATGGCGTAAGTAAATTTCATTCATCTTCATTTGTTCGAAAATAAAACTCTTACTTTAGTACTTGTCGAAATAATTAATGTACTTTTGAATTAGTAGAGAAAGAGAGGTTACAAACATTAAATAAAAAACCCATCGGGAGAATTTTACGATTTTTTTTTTTTTTTAGTTTTTTTTCTAATTATTTTAACATTGTTACATCAAATCGTATTGAAAATTCTAATAGAGTAACAATAATGAAGTATAAATGACAGTAGTAGTTTAGTCAAAAAATAACTGTACAAGGATAAAGATTGTTTAATGAAAATTCAATTACCATTCAATTAAAAATTATTAAAAAAAATTTATTGGAAAAACAAAAAAAAATTCAAAAATTAAAAAATATTTTGATTTACTCAATTACTGTTAATATACTGAGAGTTTTTATTGAATTAATTAATTACAGAGCAAAATATATAAGACAGTAGTAATATTGTCATAATAATTAGAGATTGTCAAATAAAATTTAATTCACAATAATGCATGCATATATTTTTTAATAAAAAAAAATTTAAAATGAAAAGTGTTATAATTTTTATTATAATTATAAATTTAAAAATATTTTACGGTCAAAATTATCCTAAATCTCCATGCCCTAATATATTTATATATCAGGAAAATTTTTATACTGGTCAATTATATGGTTTAGTAAGAGCTTCCAACATACAAATAAATAGAGAAAATTTAATTGAAGTTCAACTAACAAATGATGGATCTGGAATTGCGGTAAAGATTGTTATTTATTTCAATATAATTAGTTTTAATACTTTTGCAGTAAAATTTTGCATGAAATTTATTTTCTTTGTTGTTGAATTTGTTTGCTATTCATTTAGAGTTTGCTATTTAAATAAGTCAGATACATTTTTATGCATAAGTGTTAGTCTCAATTCGCTCAGAAATGTACTTGTAAAGTCTTAATATTATTTTGTTATTACTTTTATGATTCCTGGCTATATCTGCTTTTTATACACTCCTTCACTTACGTAATAAATTTTATTATTACGTAAATGAAGTATGGAAATTAAAATGGATATTATTAATTTCTGAACATATTCTATGAAAATAAAATAAATTTTTCTAAAATAAACACCAAATTATTTGAATAACAAATGCAATATAACATTTGTTCAGCATATTTTATCCGACCACAAATAAGTTATAAAAATATTACCGACATATCCGATGTAAATGAATTTTCTATGAATATAGTTTCAGTTAACGTACTTTATTTCATTATGTATTTGCCTTTTAATACTTTATTGTGAATCACAAAAATATAATGTCTGAGTAAATTTATAATTTTCAATTTATTGTTAATTTAATTTTGACTTTTTAATTTAAAAATTAATTTTTTTTGCAGGATCAAACTTTTGAGTTGATACAAGATAAATATGATATTTTTGATAATATAAAAAAAGGAGGTCATATTGACCTAGGAATTCAATTTCCCTCAAATTTTTTTCAAAATAAAATTCCAGAAGTTCTTCAAATCAAAATAAATAATAATGTAGTATGCAGAAATTCACGTAAGTGTTTCTAAAATCAATGTAAATGAATTAATATGAACGTTTTGAAATAATTTATTATTTTAAATGAATTTTTAGAAATCATTTCACCTGGAATCTCAACAGTTACTGCTTATCTTTCACCAAAACAAACATTTAACGGTATCTTCCTTAATTTTCGGTCAACAAGCAGATCTCACATATTTTCAAATTGGGATGGTATTTTTAATAGCAACCAACCTGACGGAACTACAAATTGGGACCCTATTTTTAATAGTAATGGACTGCAAGTATCTTCAAATTGGGTAACAAACAATGTACAGAAAGTTCCACAACAACCTACAACAAACTTTTTATTAACTACCCCATCAAATTATCAAATAATTTCAGCAAACAATATACCGCCATATAGACGACAAACCCCTCAGTTTATTTCAAGCCAACCTGATATTCGGTCACAACAACAATCGTCACAAAATAATTTAAATCAATTATACAACAACTTAAAGGAAATTTGTGGTACAACTTTAGTTTCTACTCAACTGGTTTTTGGTGGAAAAGAGTCTACAAGAGGTGCATGGCCATGGCTGACTGCACTTTATAAAATTTCTTTGAATAAATTTATTTGTGGTGGTAGTTTAATATCAAGATCAACAGTTTTAACAGCTGCACATTGTTTTGGAAATGATACAAATTTAGAAAATTATTTGATGGGTATTGGAGTACATAATCTAATAGAAAACAATGATAAAGAATCTTTATATTTAAGATTAAAACAAATTTTTTTACATGATAATTATAATCCTTATAGAACACGTATTGATGGTGATATTGCAATTGCAATATTAGAAACTGAAGTAAATTTTAGCAAATTTATTCGTCCGATATGTTTATGGAATAATCCAAATGAACTTATAAATCAAGAAAGTGTAATAGCTGGTTGGGGTTTAGTAGATTATCAAAATTCATCAAATATACCAAGATATGTTGAAACAAAAATTGTTTCACATGTTGATTGTTTAACATCACATCCACATTTTAATTTAATATTTTCAAATACAACTTTTTGTGCTACTGGACTTTATAAATCTAGTGGACCATGTACTGGTGATTCTGGTGGTGGTTTAATAATCGAAAAACATGGTAAATGGTTTTTGAAAGGAATAATATCAGAAGGAATTGCTCATGCAATAAAAATATGCGATTTAAACAATTATGTTGTATATACAGATGTACCGAAATTTATAAATTGGATTGAAAATTTTATGACACCTTAAAAATATTAAAGAAATCGGAGTAGCTAGTTTGAATACATATTTATACTGTTATAATATTTATAAAATTTTATAAATCAAAAAATATTAAAAAGTTGAAATTTTTTAATATTCTGGAAATATTATGTCATCTAATCATGGTATATGAAATTTATATGTTGTAAAAAAATTGTCTTTTATAAGAAATGCACTCAATGTAGTCATGTTTATTGTAAATTAATTGATGTTATATAAAATTTTTATATGGATTATTATTGTGCACATATATCCTTATTAATATCCTTTTTTGGCAAATGTATTATATGAGGCAACAACCCGCACCCTATACAATGCCTTGTGTTACAAGATTTTTAATAGAAAGAGATGTTCTTTTATTATACACAATATTTTTTTTAATTTAAATATAATTATATGTTTTATTTATAAATATAATTATTATTGTAAATTTAAGTAGGTATGTATGTACATACATACATATATAATATTTCGTCTAACAAAATTATGATTCAAATATTGGAAAACCAAAATTTTTTTTAAACAAAAAAACTCACGTTTTAAAGTATGTGTTGAATAATTTTTTTTGGCCTTAAGCTTTTCATAAGTTGTAATTTAAGAGAAAATATGATTATAATGTACTTACATACGTATAAACTTACAAATATATTTAAATAAACGTTTATAATTATGTAAGTATTAAAGCCAGTGAAATACTGACAAAGTAACTATTTAGCAACAGCAGATTTATATGTAAACATTTCGCAAATATGGCATGCATTTTTTTTTTATAAGCTAAATAATAGTAATTTAATATAAGTAAATGAGTAAAGAAAAAAATTAAAATAAGAGAAATAAATCATTTTTCCAAAATAACCTATGAAACTAAAATTTGTGTTATACTTATTTATGTTCTTCTATAAATGCTGAATTGTGTAATTGTTCAAATTTTTCTGGTACGGTAGCCAGTATGTTAATATGAAAAAAATTTAAAATATAAGTTTTAAAATTTAACTTCAGAGATTGGTCTGCTTGGAAGTAACCGAGGCAATGACGACGGATCCTACTGCTGCGCCGTAGATCACGAATGGGTCGTCTTCACTGCACCTCCATATAGTGAAGGAAACGCCGCTAACGACTTACCGATTTCTCTCTGGCGGGGATAGAGCAAGGCAGAAATTGGCCCGCAGAACTCCCAGAGACCTCATTGATGGTAAAATACCACTTGCATAAGCTGGGGAAATCGGGCTCGGACTGATGCAGATTTAGTGGGGACAACGACCAAACCGCCATGAAACTGCCGAAATTGTTTTGAGACGGGTTTTTCGAGCATTCTGGAACTGTGGTCTAATTCCTAATTTGATATCTTCCGCTTTTTATTTGGAATAGGGATATTATAGGCGGGGTAGTGGAGAAGCTACATTAAGTCGGATTGGCTAACGTTCCCTTGACCCATTCGATTCCTTTAAAATCTATAAATCAACAAATCTTGAACACAAAAAGAAATATTTATAGAATTGTAATTTATCTGTATAAGCTAAGCTGTTGAAACTAAATAATAATAGAATGGCAGAAATTATTATTCAAATACTTATAGAAAATTATTTATGTATGTTGGATTTTTCAAGAAATTATTCATCTTATAGTTTTACGAGTATAATATATGTACATATATATTTATAATTAAAAACAAATAAAATAGAGTATAATATTTCTATTTACTTACTTTTTATGTTTTGAATATGAAACATCGACATTTATGAACATAAATGTATGTATGTATGAATATTTGTCATCAATGACTAAAAATTAAAAGAAAATTAATAAGATTAGAAATTTTGTTTTATTTTAAATCAATTAAGTGAATAAAAAATAATTTTGTAATTTAATAGTTTCTTCTATGAATAAAGCTATAATCTGGGATGAAAAAATTCCATGAGTAAATATAATTGTTTTTTGTACCTTAAACCCTTTTTTTCAAATTTTGAAATCCTTTTTTCCAAGGACGGTCAATTGAAGAAAAAATATAAGATTGTTAACAATTTGGCTGCTCTTGCGTAAATTATTTGAAATTAATTGTAAAGTTTAATATGTCTAAAAGTAGCTTTCATATATAAATACTGCTGTATCTATAGGGTATAAAACATGTTTTTCAAAGCTTTCAAACTTATTAATTTTTCTCAATTTTTTTATCTATGGCATTATGTAAAATACGTAGATGTATTGTGATCGCACATAACTTCACATACCCTGAAAACATTTTTTCATAGAGAAACGCAACTTAATTACGGAATTACTCGACACATCTTAACGTAATTAATTGTTAATGTTGTTCGAAAAAATCGCAATGTGCTGATATATTTTGAAACATTAATGCATAATGGTGGTGTGACAGTCGAGGTACAGACACTACGATTATAAGTAGTGATAAATTTTTTCATTGTAGGGTACAAGAAAGTTTATGCTCTAAGCTTCTAAATTGTCAACTCTTTTTCAACGATTTAATTTATTACTTCGCATTTCGCTTTCGTTCGGAAATATATTTCGCAGCGCTACATTAAAAATTATAATGATAAGAAACGCACTGTTCGGTTATATAACTGGTATACGTAAAGCTCTTACCAGACATTATAATTATTTTAATAAAGAGTATTCGATAAAAGAAATATTAAAAGAAAATGCTTTTTGTTGTTATACTTTTGTAATATATAAAGATCATCTAGTTAAAGTTTAATTTAGTACCATAAAAGTGACGGAAGGAATTGGTTGTCGAAATAATTCTCATTAAAAGTTTGTCTTTTTTTTTTACACGAATTAACACGGATATGACAAATTAATTTTAAAGTTTCAACAAATTAATAAGAAAAATAAAATTATTTTATTTTTACTCTATAAATGAAAATAAGTACATTGTTAGATAGTGTTTATAAAATAATAGAGGTTGGAAGATTTGGCAGATAATTTTGTGAAAAGAAATTTATTTTTATTTTACGTTTTCAAGCAGTTAGAGGTAGGTGTTAAATTTTTGTGAGTTAGAGTTGTGTTGGTGTTAAAGAACAAAATGTACACGTAGAAATACAAGTCTTCTCCATCGCAAAGCACTCCAAGATTTCGAGCTCCACTAATAACCCCGAACTGAAACCATAACAAATTTTTATAGTACACAATTAGACAGAAAATTAAATTAAATAAAGAAGTATTAACTTGAATTTAGTACTAGTCAACATCTTTTTTCTTTTTTTTGTAAATTAGGTGTATAGAAAAAATACGGTTGAATTGCAGTGCAAAATAATATGAAAAACGTGAACGTAATCGCTTTTACAATTGCTATTGCATTCGTAAATTTGTCGCAAAATCAAGAGACTTCTAAAGCGAAACATGAAAATATATATATTTACAATAACAATATTACAATAAATTGGATACACCCAACAGCTGAATATGTAAGGCTTTAATAAAATTGAAATGGAATATGCTCTAAAATGTTATAAAATTTTAGGCTCATAGCGAAAGTATAGCATCCACTAAAAATATTGGAAACTATGTCGAAAGTTTGGTTGAACTGCTTTATGCAACAATCAAAGCTTTGCATAGTAATCTAAATGGTAGAAACCAAAAACTTTACAAAACACTTAAATATGACATTTTGTCATTTACAATTATTTAAAACTGTAGTCTTGTTTCCCTAGGTTTCCATTCAAATACGAGCGAGATGTCACCGGTTCTAATTTCAAGTTTGCCAAATAAGGATTTCATTAAACAAAAAACCGAAAAGAAACAAGAACATAATATAGAAATCCAGGAACCCGATGGAAATGACACCAATAAATTAATTGACGTAACGACAATGAAAATCGACCAAGTATCGGATATAGATTTGCCAAAAAGCACCATAATTATAAAACAAAAGGAAAATCTGCAAGAATTCAATATTGAGCAATGTGATATTCCACCGAAACCAATCAATTCACTTGTTAATGCGCCAGTACCACCAGGAGCATGGCCATGGTGGGCACCAATATTAAAAATTTATGGAAAATCGTTATATTATGACTGCGGAGGAACACTAATATCGAAAAATGTTGTATTAAGTGCAGCAGGATGCTTTTACGAAGAAAATTTGGATGTAGAAAAATACCGTGTTGGTCTGGGACTTTCAACTCGAAGTAATTTCGATGAAAAAAATACTTTCATAGCCCAAATCAATGACATCATAATACATCCAGATTATAGTCAAGAAAAAGAAAAATTTGACAACAATATTGCAATAATAATTCTGAAAAATTCTTATGAGTATAAATTAGAAATATGCTCAATGAATTTGTACATAATCAAAAATTTTTTAATTTCAGTTTCAATGATCGAATTCAGCCAGCTTGTTTATGGTCTAACATAAGTCAAAAAGAAATCGAAAATGAAGAAGGTTATGTTGTTGGATTTAAAAGTAATAATCTCAAATCAGCCATGGAAGTGTTCAAAACTAATATAGTGCCCGCGGATATTTGTCAATCAACTGAAAAAGAGTATATGACAAGAATATCAGAAAGAAATTTTTGTGGAGATTCAACTCCACAAACTAGCTGCTACAGCATTTATGGTCAAGGTTTACTGATTCGAAAAAATGAAAAACTATATTTACGGGGGATACTTTTGGGTGGATTAGCAAATGCATATACAGATTGCAATTTAAATGAAAGAATTGTATATACCGATATTGTCAAATTTATACCATGGATAACACAAAGTATTAGGAATATTTAACAACGATGTTAATAACACGTATTATCAATTTTTGTAACTAATTGTAATACCCTTAATATCATTAGAATATAATGTCGATATTTATAGAAAGTGACAATACATAACTTTATTATTTATTATTTATAATAAGCTAATTTGAAATCCATACATATACATACATATAGTACCTATGTTAATGTCATGAAAGTAACACATTAATTTCATAGTCTGCAATTGCTATTGAAACTAAGGTATAACAATAAATCAAATTTGATTATATTACCCGAAAACCGTACTTGAATAAATATGTCAAAAAATTAAAAGTACTAATCATATGAGGGCTTTTGAGCCAGTCAAATCGAACATCTCTCTTAGATATACTTATAGAGGTTATTTTTGAACAAAGAAATCAGCACATATTGATGCTGTGCAAACTGAATTTGAACATTTACAGTTGCTCTACAATCTTAAAGTTAAACTAAATTCTCAAATAAATATTAAGTTCGGAGTCTTTCACTAAAAAATGTAAAAACAGGTTGTAGGGTTTAAGCAAGTTTTTTTTTAAACTTCCAAATTATTAACGTTTTTGAACGATTTAATTTATGATTTCATACGTTCCTTCATTTAGAACTATGAACGCAACCGCTTTAAATATTATAATCTATAAAAATGTACTTTTTGGTAATATTTGAATACTGAAGTATTATTATGTATTTATATATAGGTGCAAGTCAATTCCAACTGTGTAAATTTTGTGATACGCAATAAACATTTCATTGACTAAATAGCTATGACCATGGAAAGGAAAAACCTAAGTTTTATAACCATAATAACAACTGTTGTATTAGTTAATTTATCGCAAAACCAAGCATTTCCTGAAGAAACCTATAGAAATATTTATATACAAAATAACAGCATTTCAATTAATCGGATATACCCAGCAACAGAATTTGTAAGAAATTTGCGGTAAAAATAAAATTCAAACAGTTTAAAATTATAATTAAGTTTCAGGCTCATAGAGGAAGTATTGCATCTACTAAAGTTATAGAAAAATCTCTTGAAAATTTAATTCAACGGTTGTTCAATACAACATTTGCAGCTTTGCATACTAATAATTATGGTAATAACTAGCGAAATTACCCTATAACGCATATAATTAAAATATAAATACTTAAAACTACTTTGCCTTCTTAGACTATCAACGTTACAATAAAGAAATGCCGGTAACTGTAACAAATAACGATTTAGTAAAAAAAACCAACAAGGATACACAAGAAAAAAGTCTGGAAGAAGATAATCTAGACCAATATAGTACCACAAAATCTTCTAATAAAACCCTAATGGATTCCAATCGAACATTGACAAAAGATTTACCGAAACAAATTACCGAAACTGGAGAATCAAATCAGATGATCTTAAATGATGAGGTATGTGGAATTTTGTCAAAACCAATAAACTCAATTATTGGCAGTACAGCGGTACAGCCAGGGGCGTGGCCATGGTGGGCACCAATATTCGAATATAATGATGGCGCGTTGAAAAATATATGTGGAGGTACACTAGTATCATCTTATGCAGTATTGGGTCCTGCAAGTTGCTTCTGGGTAGATTGGTTTAAATCTGGTTCTAGAATTATTGAAAAAGAAAAATATCGTATTGGTTTAGGACTCTCTTATCAAAATGAGATTAATGAAACAAATACTTTCATAGCCGAAATTGAAGAAATAATAATACACCCAGATTACGAGTTTAAAGTTGAAAAGTTTGAAAACAATATTGCCATCATAATTCTACAAAAGTCTTACAAGTACAAATCGTAATTTTTTTTTTTTTGTTTTTGTAAAATAACAAGCCTTTTAATTTCAGATTTAATGACCGAATTAAACCAGCATGTGTCTGGTCCAGTGATGACAATCAAGATGAAATCCAAAACAAAGTAGGATATGCGGTTGGTTTTTCAAATGGTAGTCCCAAAACAGCTTTAAGCATATACAAAATTGATATTCAATCATGGGATAACTGTATTAATGCAAATAATGGAAAAGATCAAACAAGAATTTCA